CTAAATTTCCATGTATTATTTATAGTACAGCAGTACTGAAAGGCATCCTAATTAAGGATCCAAGTGCGGATGTATTAAAATACTAAAACCGCAATTCACATTCCAGAAATTTTCCAAGGAGAAGGAAATCTTCCTTCCACCCTTTAGTGATTCACTTTGAAAAAAAATCTTATCCATAGCAGAAGGAAACTTTCTTCTTACATACAGAAAAAAGCTAAACCATCTAAAATGACAAGTTTTATTTCTACAGGACTTAAGGTAGAAACTCCATACTAGCAGGGGAGAAATTTTCAGTATAAGAGACCAAAATCTGTGATATTTTTTTGTATGTTTTGAGAGAATTGTAAGTATTTTCCATCAAGTCGAACCTTTATCTTACATTATGTTCTATAAAACTGGCTTTTTCAAAACCACACATTGACTGTTTATGCAGTGTGTAACTGAGATACAGTTTTTATATATCTGTATGATGTTAGGATTTGTCAAACATACTTGCTCCACACATTTACCATATGTGTATATATATATATGTAAAAATATATATCTACAGTAATTTAATAATCTCTGACTCTTTTTTTTCCAGCATAAAGATTTTGTACACCTACTGTTTAGCCTAATGGTCACTGGTTTTCTTCTGCCCTAGTGCTTATGTACCAAAGGTGGCAGCAGGTCACTGCAAATGGGCAGAAGTTTTGAAAGATTTGGAGCAGATCAAGACATCCAAAGTAAGTTCATTAAAAAGTGTTTCATATAATCACAGGAGTGGACATAATCAAATATTAAGTACTGCAGTCTGCTAAGAAGTATCAGTGACAGGGAGCAGGAAAAGGGATGGTGTTTGCATAATGCTGTTTCATGGGTGGAAGCAAAGGAATAGAAGGTTAAAGGGAATGGGAGCTGACTAAATACTGTGGACTCCAGATTTAAATATTTTCTTTCTTACTTTTCGTAAGGAAAGGAGCAGTGAGCTTGGGAGTTTGCTCCTTCAGAGAAAGTATTGTGGGTCTTGATTCTGATATGTCTTCCTCACAGCGAAGCCCATCCTGCAGGTTACTGGGTGACTAAGATTCTCTAACTTGCTGGCTGCTAGTACCTTGTGGATTTGGCCTTTGAACTTGGAACTAATCCATGCCTTGCAGAGTTAGCTTTATCATCTCTAAATCTCTCAGTAAATGTTATTAATTCTAAATCTTGTTTTCTTTTAGGACATTGATATCAGTTTATATACTGCAAACATAGATGAGGATGTAAGTACACTTAAAAATTTACCACAACTTGTCTAACATGGTAGCTTTGCTTCTTTACTATCAACTTTCTCCTCAGGGCAGCCTTGGTCTCACTTGAGAAAAGTTTCAGAAATAAAATAATTTCCCCTGGAAGGGAAAAGTTGAACTACTTATGATAATTATGTAAGAAGGTATTAATTATTTGAATTTAATAACCTGTTGCAATATTAATCAATTAAAAGGGATGATCCAAAATGATCTTATCATACCAAACACTGCTAAAGTAACATTGGTATTTATTTGTAATTTGAGGGAGGAAAAAAGGGACAAAGAAAATACTTCCAAAGATGATTATTTAACACTCTGCACTGTATAATAGAACAAAATATCAGAGAAATGGAATATGGAGAGTAACTATCAGCATCTACCTGTGCACTTCTCTGCTTCTGCCTTTCCCGAAAACCCCTAGCAAACAACTAGGCACCCTCAAAGATCAGTCAGTTTTACACTGGAAGAGAGCAGATTTACGTTAGACATTTGAAAGAAATTCTTCACTGGTGGTGAGACACTGGCACAGGTTGCCCAGAGAAGCTGTGGATGCCTCATCCCTTGCAGTGTATAGTCCTGGTGGAATTGGCTGGAGTCATTGCTATGGCAGTAGCCTGCTTCCGAGATACTGCTTTCCTGACAATATAAACATTCACAGAGGACTGTGCCAAACACAGACAATGGATGAATCCTGCACACAAAAAGGTGATGAAATACTTCCTAGAAATGACGGACAGAACAAGAGGGAACGGTTTCAAGCTGCAGCAGGGTAGGTTGAGATTGGACATTAGGAAATTTTTTTTTCACAGAGAGAGTGGCTAGACACTGGAATAGGCTGCCCAGGGAGGTGGTTGAGTCACCATCCCTGGATGTGTTTAAGAGTCATTTGGATGTGGTGTTGGTAGATATGGTTTAGGGTTTAGGGGAGAACTTTGTAGCGTGGGGATGATGGTTGGACTCAGTGATCCCAAGGGACTTTTCCAACCTGAACAGTTGTATGACTCTGACTGGCTTACGTCAGTGCAGAATAGTCTCCATGTGCATGCAGAATACAGCAATGTTGACATATTTGGTGGATCTGGCAAGCCTGAGAAAGCACAGCCTGCTGTGTCTGTACCATTAGCCATGTACATGTCAGGAAGAAAGGTCACAAAACATGCATGCTCACATTCACACACACATTTTCTTAAATTATCTGAGCGAGAGAGGTTAATACATTGCAATGGCTGATTTAATGCCTGGTAATGTCAGGGAGAGTTTCTTAAAGTGTTACAGTCTGATAGGAAGTCAGATAATCTGGGATTTATTCTTTGCTGTATTGTTGACTTGATGGAGAAATTTGTGCCTCTGCTTCTTTTTCTCTAATTTGTGAAATACAGGTAATACATACTTTCTCTTCTCCTGCACCTATTCTGAATTCATATCACTGAATGGAAGTGCTAGAACTACTAAGAATATTACTAACTTAATTCCACTGTGTTAAATTGTATCCCAAATTTCTATAATAATGTATTATATTCCTGTATTCTTCACCAAGACACTGTTTCACCTCATCTTAGCAAACTGACTGGTCTTTATGTTGTTACTTCTCACAGCCAATCTTTGCAGTATTTTAAAGTATTTGAATAGTAAGCCAGTTTGTGGCTACATTATGTCTTACATTCACTTATTCCTTTTTAATTGTAAAACTATTACAACTATCCTTTTTTTTTTTTTTTTTCTTCCCCCCAGAAAGAATGCCAAGAACCTGTAATGAGATGCTTCTTCTTAGAGACAGAAGTGATTCTTCAAGAATGTCTTATAAAAAAATGTAGTAAAACACAGGATGTAATGAATATATGGAAAAATGGAAATGCAAGCTTAAAAAATAACAAGGTAGGTAGCACCAACAGTTTGGGGAAAAAAAAAAACAGAAGCACAAATATCTCTTTTGTTATATAAAAGGTGGGATGGTACAGATTAAAGCAACTGGGATCCAGTAATCTGTATACATAACAATGAAAAGGCTACACATAAATCAATAAAAAAGCAGAATTCAGTGTTTTTTAGAAAAACACTTTCAGGATTTCCATCAAAGCAAATATTTTGCACCGTGCATAAATACATATGTCAGGCTGTTTAATGTGTATGTATGAATAACTGTTTGTAACTTCAGTATCAAAAGTCAGATATGCTCACATATATACAGAAAGCTATCCTAATTTTCAAAGGATACTTGCATCTCTCCCTGAAGTGCTGTGTCTTTGAAAGCTGATCTTAGAAAGCAATCCAGGAGCTGCACAGACCATAAGTACCATGGAAGCCTCCAGCAATGCTTTCTGTAGCCATTGACTGTACTGGAATTATTCAGAAAACCAGGACAAATGAGAGTTACTTCTCTATCAGAACAAACAGATCAGTATCCTGCTTTACTCTTCATTTTGTTTTTCCAGTTCAATTCCACAACATCATCAAAATGCAAAGAATGTGAAGAGTATGAAGAAAAAAATTTTACAGAATTTATACAGAGTTTTGAAAAGGTTATACAGAAGGAATGCAAACACTGACCAAAAGACTCATTCTGGGAACCAAGACTCTTCCATAAACAAGCTCTGAGCAATTAGATTATCGCCAACAATAAACTGGAAATAAAATAATTTTAAATCCTACTTAGATAGCATAACATACAAAGAATAGGAAAATCCATGTAATTAACAATGTATTCAAAACTGAATATATACAACTGATACTGCTTATGAAATATAAAATAAAGAAATTTTAAAGGTTTAAAGCTTCTTCTTGACTTAAAATGACTTCACATTTTTTTAAGTCCATTGGAAAAGCAATCCTGCCTAAATTACCACCCTTTCAACAATATTATCTATGAAGACCTCAGGATATCTGTAGTTGGAACCTCCTCACAAAATTCAGGGCTATCTGATCTTTGTTTCAGAGAAAAGCTCTTATTATTAGTCATTTAAAATCATTATGCTCTGTTAAAGCATTTGGCTAAAGCTAGATTTGCTGTCTGAAATCTATCCCTCTACCATATGTGCTCCTGGAAGATCCCAGTTCATCTCTCACTTCTGTCATTAGTCACGTCTGTCAGTTTAACTTGTTTGGTTTTTTCTCACATTAATATTCCATCAATGAAATAGTGCCAAAACACCAGCTGAGGCCTTGCTTGTCTATTTGTTATCTCTTAATATGCTTATTTATACTATTGTTTTCACATTAATGCAATTACTTGTTTTGTCTAAGAATTCAAAGCAAAAACTCAGAATATTTATTTAAATTCTCTTTTTTCTCTTTTGTACAATGGTATTAAAAATTATCTCCAGTCTTCTCAGCTGAAGATAATGCTCATGTTTGGTTCCACTGTCCAATGACAGAACGTGCTTTTTTACTTCATTTGTTACCTCTCACACAGGCACTACCTTAGTTATTAAGGTAATTACTACTGTTCCTTTAGCAATTGCCAAAGTTTTCAATCTAAATTTCAACTAAAAGAAGGCAGGGTAAATTTCTTTCTTTGAATAGAGAAGGTGACCCATAGTTCTATGTGGTAGAAATCTTCCCTGTGTAGTAGATTTTGAAACTTTGGTCTCCTTTTGGGGTAAGAACTTTGAAGCGGGAAAATTTTTTGACCAGTTCATGTACATCATGATAACTGTACTTCTAAGACTCAATGCAGTCAGCTTTCCCCTGGTAGTTCAGAAATCTTGCATAGTTTTCTTTCAGCTCTTTTTAAAGAAGCTGCTTTCTTCATGATTCATAACCATGTCATACCAACTGCTATGCATAATAAGTAATTCTTTCCTCCAGGCACCTCCATTTCTCCATCTTCATTTGATAAATGGCTGAGTCATTCAGCTGTCCACTTACCAGGAAAGAAGTCTCAGTCTCATTATGGCAACAAGTAAACTGCCTGGTACTCCCTTATTGTTCAGTTATTCCCAACAGTCAATCTTCAGCACCCTGAGAAGCTGAAATCTCCAGTAAACTGCAAGAGAAAGAAAAGAAATATGAGCACAGTGAATGTCATCTTCCAGGTGACTTACTGATGAACTGATTGGTAAATTCATAAGCACATTAATTTCAGGATTAAACACTGCCAGAAGTATCACAGAAGAAACAAATTATTTTTTACTGCAAAACATCTATGAAAGAAGTGTTTGGTACGTAGTTTGGGTGAAGTAAACTGGCACTATATTTTAAATTTTTCCTTAAAACAATGGTATACATTGAATATAATTTTCTTTTACCTGATGTCACATGCATAGGCAAGGTAATAAAAAGTTACAACTGTTACAAAGAGATAAAGGGGTCTCCCTTATTTGTAACTTTGAAGGAGCTGGACACAGTCCAGCAGTATTCATGATGGGAGAAATGTGCAACTCCTTTGGTCAGATAGTGTTCTTTATATTATCCACTGTGAAAATCAGTTACCTGGTTAATTTTACTCTGTTTTTCATTAAATCTTATGCCAGTGGCAAGTATGTAAAATACTGTATTTCTGAAAGAATAATATGAAGTCTGTGACCACTCAGCTTGCCACCCTGTTAGCCACTTTCTGTTGGACACTGGCCATATCTCTTTTGTCTCATCTCCACCTGTTCCAGATGCATATCCTAGAATCAAAAAGGCCATTTGCTAATCTTACTTTAACAGGATAATGACAGAAGCACTACTGCAGATGATGTTTGACATCTTCTGCCTTGCTGTTTTATTAGACTCTGAAGATAAATATTGGGTTCTCAACAATAGAACATTGCCTCCAGTGGCTCCACATATTTGAGCACCTGTTGATCAGGTACTGTGCAGAGATTTGAAAGTCCTCACTGTTTAAAGTCAATTCTGGATCAGCATTGGTACACTTACATAAGGACTATTTTCTATAATACCTCCATCTGAACGCACGTAAGAGAAAGTAACCAATAATTTCTGGAGTCCAGATTTTATTTTAAGCAGTGAGAAGGCAGCAGCCCTGGGAACCAAGGAAAGGGCAGCCTAATAGAGTCCTGTTTTGTAAAAGCATGGATCATTAACTGTAGTTGAAAGAGGCAAATTTTGAACTGCAGCTACCTCTCCTGTTGGGAGCTTCACTGTTTTGGGGAAAATGACTTAACAGAAAATGTCACTGAGTCATCACTACCTGCATGTTTTGGCCAGTTTACATTTTTGAGTACCAAAGAACTGCCATTTTTCAGTACTTCTGCCTCTAAGTAGGCATACGAGACATGCAGCTGGCTACACTGGAGAAACAATATTAACCTCCTATTGCACTAGCATCAGTGAATGTTTCCAGAGCTATCATCTATTTTGTAAAGCAAGGTAAAAGACATTTGCATTTACATAGAAAAGTAGGTTATGGCCCCCAGGTAAGCTGACTAGGACAGAGGCTTGTTGCAAATTTGCTCTCCTATGACACATAGCACTAGATGATCAGGAATTAATTGAATATGTAAAACTGGGGGAGAAGATGGGAAAATATAATAAAGAATGAAACATCCTGTTTAAACGACTGACTTACCCCTATCATGAAACTCTGAAAGTGAAAAACGTATAGAAGAAAAAGGAATGAAGTTAGAACATAAACTGGAAAATTTACTGAGACATACTGAAGGCTAAAGAAGCCTATTTTAAATTCAGCATACAAACTAATATCTTATCTTGGGTCTCTTCCTTCTGAGTTGGAAGGAAGTCTCAGCCTAATGGTGAATGTGGAGGGAAGCTGCTGAAGAAATATCAGAAATTGTCTAAGGTGTGAGGCCTAATCTTTGGAACCTGTCATCATGGACAAAAGAAATTAATTTAAGTAAATAACTTCATCTTCAATTGATTTATTAGAGTCCATTTGGAAAAATGTGTGTTCAACAGAAATGGATCACGACAGGGTTCCTATAAACTGTGACTCTAATACTATGTTACCCAAGAAAATAATTGAATCTGTCACCCTATTCCTTCAAAATCTGATTTCCCAGAGGAACAGAAATGTGTTTATCTTCCAGTGGGATGTTTCTACAGTTCTTCCAAACTTCTAAACCCAAATATTCACTTAAGATTTATTGTGTAATACAGCTCATATCTTTTCATATTCAAATTCTCTAGGCAAGAAAAGACCAACAGCCTGGTTTCACCCCTAGACTGTAATTCCACAGTCTCCTGAAGCACACAAACTTTGGCCCTTTGTTTCTTTACCTAGTGAGACTCTGTATTCCTCCAGACTTGCCACTTCAATATATACATGTCAGAGTTCAGTTCCCACGTACAATAACAAAAACTCTGTAGTCACCCAGGTAGACCAACCAATTTTACAGCATTAAAAATTGTTATCTGCATTTTCTGTTGAGCAGAAGAGTATTTGTCAGTGTTACAGGCTTTAACAAAGTTTGCAGCTCACTGAAACTCTTCTGCGTTGCATCACTTCCCCCTGTACGATTTGCTTCGGCAGCATAAAAAGAGGTTCAGTAATTCCAATTTCCTATTTTGTGATTACAGTTTTATACAAAGCACTGCTTTCTTTAAACATGTTGAAACAGAGCCGAAAATTAGCCAAAGTTTGTTCAGTATCAAAGTATCTTTCTGTAAGTGTTTATGCCTTTCAAATTAAATAAATATGCATAATACATTATACAGAAAATTATGTGATGCTCAGGGGTCAACATGCAGCATATATATAAAATAAAAAATATTTATATATATATCTATATATAAGCATATATATATGCTTTATTAAATGTTATGATTATTCAGTTTTCCCATTAATCTGCATTTTCTGTTGTTTCATTTGCTCTATCTAGATGGTAAATTTACCATTATCTAGCTCAAATGATTTTAATTTCTGGTAAAAAGAAATAACTTTCTAAATTGTTATCTAAGTTATATTAATGAACAAATATGTATAGCTGTTTTATAGGATGATACATTTATAGTGTTGATTTTGAAGAGACAATGTTTAAACTCTAGTATGAGATGTTCTAAAATAAAAAATATTTATATATATATATATAAGCATATATATATGCTTTATTAAATGTTATGATTATTCAGTTTTCCCATTAATCTGCATTTTCTGTTGTTTCATTTGCTCTATCTAGATGGTAAATTTACCATTATCTAGCTCAAATGATTTTAATTTCTGGTAAAAAGAAATAACTTTCTAAATTGTTATCTAAGTTATATTAATGAACAAATATGTATAGCTGTTTTATAGGATGATACATTTATAGTGTTGATTTTGAAGAGACAATGTTTAAACTCTAGTATGAGATGTTCTATAACAGAATACATTAAATTATAAGAACTGAAATTATGAGATAATAATATGTTAATAATAATATTTAAACATAATGTTTAATATAATATAAATATAATAATCTAATAATAGCAAAATGTTGGTTTTATACAATATAATTACATTGCTTTGTGTGTTTGTTCCTATACTTTCTATAGTCAATAAAATTCCTAACTCCGTTTATTCAACTAACAGAATTTTTCCGTGTGGTTTGCACTGTGCATTCTATGTTGGTAGGTACATAGTATGAGCACTAGTAACATAAAAAAA